CAAAATTATTAATTTGTTACTTCCGACAATTTTAGAGATCTAGATATTTTGAATCTCTTATTTATTTTGGGAAAATTTGATCAATTTATTTTGTTATTACAGCAAGATTTTTTTTCCTACTTTTGAATCTTTTATTTTTGGAAAAAATTGATCAGAAGAATTGTTAATTTGTTACCTCGCCGGGCTCGCCATTTGCACATGTCCACAACCGAGCCTAACTTCATCACCGTCGGCACCTTCTGGTGGGCCGCACTGCCGCAGTCTTCTCCGCCTTCACGAGGTGATTAAGGTGAACAAAAAATCATACTTTTGGTTTTTTGTTTTCGAATTTTAGTTTGATTTCTAAATTGGCTATTCCGCTATTATATCAAATGCTTGTTTATCTGTGTTAGATTTTATTTGTTTACTTGTTTTGAGAATTTAACTTTTTTTGTTTGATTCAATATTTGATTTAACTAATTTTTTTTACTTGATTTATATTTTTTCTCTGTTTGGTAGTCTTCCACAGTTCCATTCCACTTCATGTGTAGTGATTACTGATTAGCTTGGATTAGTGGATTTATAAATTTATCTTTTGCTGTTCTTTGGTATTTATATTTACTGTGTGGGTTAAGTTAAAACTTAGGCATTACTTTTATAGTTGGCCCAGGGCCTAATAATCTATAGGGCCGGCTCTGAATAAACCAAAGAATAATCTTTATTGATGCTAGCGTACACGTGATAAAATAAGCAAACACTTGTACAAAACTGAAAAAAAGAGCCTAATATGCCGTATAAGTGCAAAATACATTGTAGTGGAAATGATGTACAAAAGTAGCAAGACTAATAATAATATTACATTAAAAAAGTCTCCATAATGAGCTTTGTATGATACATTATTACAAATAACACCTAGTTTCAGTTGAAACGATCTTTGGGTCTGAAGAGATCAATGGAACGATCATGCAGCTGTTGGATAGGTCTGGAATTTGCTTCTGAGTCCTGTAAAAACATAAAACATAAATCTACTAAAAACGAAAGATCGATACATTTATAGTAAATAATTAATTTTATTAGAACTACTTACATCGTGGACAGCTTCGCGAATCACTCGAACTTGTTCTCTTGAAACGGTTCTCACCTAGAAACGGTTAACAATATACGACCGATTAGAAATGTGCACGAAAAATTCTAAGAAATTACACACAAATACAGTTTTTACATGTGTATGTATTTAACTATTTATGATACCTTTCTAACCATGGTCCAAATAATGTTTTGAGTGCAAGGAGGGACTGTAAGTGAACCAATATATCTGTAATACTTTCTACTCCCGAATTTAATTTGCCTGGGATTCACAACACCCACAGAGTGCTCCACCTCATGAGTTTGAGCTACTGCTTCTAACTCCCTCTGCATCTACATTGATTTTGGGGGGAAAAATATGAAGTAAATAAATTAGATAATAATGGTGGATTATTATTATTAATTATTATTATAATAATAAAAAGCAAAAGCGAGGCCTAGCTCGATAAGTAATTAATTACACATAACAACCGTGAAGGCTAAATTTGGTAAAAGCTGACAGCTGATAAACTAGTTCATAGCTTATCTCAATAATTTTCGAGCTTATAATTTATGACTTATAGGCTAAATAAGAGTATGGTTGTACCTCGGACAGAAAGGAATCTGGACGACCAATTTTATACATGATCCCAATCACAGCCGTGCGGTTATCGTGGCTCTGGTGAACCAAGTGAACTTCCATGTCAAACCTATTATTATTTATTAATAAACATTAGCCGTCTTTCACTGTAGATCATATCAATATGAAAATTGCATTATTATTAAATATTTTTAGATGCCATTACAAAAATGCACACCTCATCATGTCATGACACCACGTATGAAATATATTATTATTATTA